TCCGGCGCAGGCAGGCGATGTTAGCCCCCCGGTACTTGAGGGTGAGGATGGTGAATCAAAGTCTGAATATGTCTCGAAGGAGAAGGAAATTACGAACCTTGTTTAGGAGATACTGCAAACTGTCGATTAGGGAGATGTTCGTAGTTGCAATCGTTTTCCGCGCTGTCTTGCTCGCGATAGTATTAATGAATTGCCATCCTGTTTAAGATATCTCCTCTCATTCCAGTCTTAGCTAGCCAGATAAAGGCCGGATGAAGTAAAAAGAAGAGAGAAGTTCAGCTTGCATTTTGGCAGTCAACAGTGTCTAGAAACATACCCTTATTAATCATACTTTCTGGCAAATTATGTCATTTATATGCCGTAGGGGAGGGTTTATAAGGTTTCTCATCATTTGGTGGGACGCCCAAGTTACTATCGAGGTCCGTGCCCCTCTCACCCACCCACGCCCTACCCACCTTCCTCCCCAAACTACAATCCAAACTACAATTTCAATACACGATATCCTGTATGAATACTAATTAATCTTCAAATACTTTTATAAATTAAACAAGACACACCAGCTCCCGTCCTTGTGGGGGTTCTTGTTTTGCATTTTTTGGAGGCTTTTTGGCAATGTCCTGTGTAGAGAAAGGGAGGGCCTGGAAACCGGCCTCTTTGGCTGTGCTGTGCTAGGATGGCTAACCCCCATGTGTGCACCGTAGTTTGCATTGCTGGAACATTGCCATGAGCGCCTCAATCCGCACTGTAGGAATTTGCAGACTTATTCCCAATGCCCTCGTCCAAACGTGTCGTCTGTTTTCTCGTTTGTTCTCTTAAACTGAAACCAAGTCTCAATATCCTCTTGACTTTATATCTAGTGCTAATCAGCGTAGAACTATTCACAATTTAACAGTCTCATTTGTTCTCACCAAAGCTCATCAATAAAATTTTCTTATACGCACCCATCGTATTATCTTCTTTACACTCTCTACAATGTTTCTGTTATCTTCTTTTTAATAAAGAGTCCTTTCTAGTATATGGATTATACCATCGCAGAGTGATATACATTTAGTCCTCTGGTTAAATTTGCGTTCGTGCACGAAAAGTCAACCGTAGCAACGAATTACTACGCAGCCGCCTCGTCATTCGTATTAAGTAGACTATAGCCACGAATGCCATCCTTCAAAATCTCTTCCCATGCATAGAATGCCCAGTCTTCGAAGGCTTTAGTTGGCGTTCTCATTAGCAGGGTGGCTGAATAATTTTCGCTAGATCAGTCCCTTGATTGGTTGAGGCCTTACCATCTTATCGCGACGTCGACGCCATCTCTCTTTTTCAATTCTCCACGCCTAAAGGCCCGGTCGCTAGCCCGTAGGCCGGCGGTCCTGGGCTCCATATCTCAGAATTTTAGCGCATATCGTGGTTTCCCCACCTCACGTCAACGCCAAAGTCGGATTCGAAATCCAACCCCAAGGCGTCGGGACAGGCCTTAAGGCTGAGGGGTTGACTCAAATAAGCATCACGGAGTACATCTGTTCTCTTTCGACAGCTGCAGCTTCAGGCGGATTGCTTGAAACCAACTCTCCCTCCCGAATCCGATCAAGCCTGCTGACCCCATCTCGCGATAACGGCCCATGCCACATGTGGTCGCGTTTCCCGTGGGCGTCGAGGTTCCATCCGATTGGTAAGTGGCGTCTGCATGCCTTCCCTCTTTGAGTTCGTTATCTTGTGCTTGTGTGAACGTTTTGGAGTTCGATGTTGTATCCTTTTTCGAGATGCTACCGATCCTCACCTCTAGTGGAACAGGCAGGCCATTGTATGAAGCGATCAACATGGTCGATTCAGCGCTATGTTCCCCTCCCGTATGCGAAAAAATGGGTTGAGAGTGGGACCCTGCAGCTCCTCCCTATTGTTAGCGCGTAGTACATGCACATCATAACTGACCTTGCAAATAGATCTCAAACGATGAACTTTAGTCCTCCGCAAGGTTTTTCGCCTGAGTCAAATCAGGCCCCGAACGAATTTGCGAATGGCAACAAAATAAGATCCCGTCGCCCTTGTGATTCTTGCCGACGACGGAAATCTAGGTGTGAACTCGATGGCGCCCCTCCCTGCGTCTTATGTCGTTTCCATAGACAAGAGTGTACCTTCAATGAAGAGCCGCAGCCACGAAAACGAAAGGCGGCCTCACCGAGCGAAGAAGACAATATCTCAACCAATCGTCGCGTTCCAATACACGAGAAAAGTGGTCCTGCTCCTGGGCCCCGGTCACCAATTGCTTCATCAAGGATCCGTCAAGACCAACCTGTAGACAATTACGCCAACTTGAGAGGACCCTCACTGCTGAAAAAGACTCTTGGCTTACAAAATCACCGACACAGCCAGTTTATAGGCTCCACTTCGCAGTACGAGCAAGTACTCCTGGAGCTCGGGGACTATCATGAAAGCGAGGAGCTGTCAATTGGTGTTTCTGCCCTGCGGAAAGTCAATTCCCTTGACACGGCTTTCATTCTCTCTCCCGACGAAGGGACGAGAAACCACGAGGATGAGATTCCCGATTTGGACGCGATAGAAATGCTTGTGGCTCCCCATGGGCAAGCGCTGATACATTTATATTTCCGAATTGTGTACGTATTTCTCGACTATCCTGAGAGCCATACTCCATACTACTACCCTCAACGAAAATGTCCGGGATCTAGTGAGAAACTACTTCAGACAGATACAGTAGGATTTAGTAGGGTTAAAAATATTCTTTTGTCCTGTCTGAGATTGGTGGCATGTCCTGTCAGTCGTACTGGAAACTTCGCTTGGATTTTACCTCTGAGCAAGCGCTTCAGAGAATTCGCGAGATAGCCCAGCAATTTTCAGCTCAAGGGCAAGAGGGTTGGCTTGGCTCTACTGAAGCCTGTTGCATCTAGTACAATTTCTTTTACGTTAAAACACTCGGGTATCGCCCAAGGTGGTAGAATGGATTATCACGGCGACACAGTACTCTCCTCTGCCCTGATAGAGAATTATGCTGACTATTTCTCGATCCCTAGACATCCCAGCTTTCCCGTTTTACACAAGAAAGTCTTTCTCGAAAAATACCAGCGCACACACCGAGAATTCTCGCCACCACTTTTAGCAGCAGTCTATATTCTAGCTCTCAACTGGTGGTCGTATAGCAGCGAACTAGCCCTTCTCCCTAAACCCGACGTGCCACGACTAGAAAAGCTGGCTTTCAAGACTATGAACGACATCATCTATCGACCAAAGCTGTCAACCATTCAAGCCGGACTGCTTCTCCTCCAAAGACCTGACGGTGATTCATGGGCGTTGACTACGCAACTTGTTGGGCTCGGTCAGGATTTAGGTTTGCATCTCGACTGCTCTGATTGGCGTATTCCATCCTGGGAACGAGGGCTACGAAAAAGACTGGCATGGGGACTGTTCATGCAGGACAAATGGGGATCTCTTGTTCACGGCCGCCCCTCACATATCACAACCATGGACTGGGCTGTGACACCGCTCCGAGAAGACGACTTTCCCGAGAATGCGGCTGATGAGGACAACGAGGATGGGAGCACGGAAGTGGAAAAGGGACGAACGCTCTTCTGCGAGATGATCAAGCTCACAGAGATCCTTGCTCTTGTCTTGTCAACTTTCTACACTCTACAGGCTGAAGTGGATTTTGGCCAGCACATGCATGAAGGTGTTCGTTGGATTCTCGAGAAGGCGAAGCCGATACAAATGTCTCTTAGACAATGGTATACCAGTCTGCCAACTTGCCTGAGAATGGAGAATATTGCCATGAGGAAATTGTCTTCGACTGGTAGGTTATACTATCTTCTATGCGCTACAGCATACGCTGACAAAACTCGAATCCAGGTTACCTGCATCTCGGATACTACGCGGTCGAAATCACGCTCCACAGACGCATCATCCGCTCTCTATCCTCGATCGACGACCCCACTCTTCGCGCCATCTGCCGCCAAGCAGCCCAAGCACGCCTCAAATCCACCATGGACTTCGTCCAAAGCCTGCGCCCCGAACATCTCCAATCCTTCTGGTACTGCGCATCCAAGTACTGTTTCGCGCTCGTAGGGACCTTCATCTCCCTCCTATGGGTCACCGCCCAAGACAAGGACGAAGCAGACCTGTACAAAGCAAGACTAGATGAGTACCGGTGGACGCTACGTCTTTCCTCGAAATCTGCCGATTTCCTCGAGCAGGCCATCAGCATGCTCGCCACGTCAACTGGGGTATTGGTCAGATCCATTCCGGAGAAACCGAATGTGGACTTTGTCCTCAACAGGCACAGGAATAGAATCGTCAGCGCGCCTCCGTCGTCTTCCGCCCAGATTCGCTCGGACAGCGCATCGCAAGCTCAGTCGATTGTGTATCAATCCGAATCCGAACTGCACGACGACACCTCTCCCGACAACGGGGTGGGAGAAACCCCCTCGGAAAGCGGAGGTATCGCGAGTGGCGGCGACTGGAATACGGACCAGTTGTGGTTTGCAAGTGCGGTGAATAGCGGTCATGGTGGTGGTATCTATGGTGGAGATGAGAATAGCGGTGATACTGGTCTCTCGAATGCCTATCTTCAAATGCCGGAGCTTGGGGATATACCAAATGGCTATAATTTCCAAGGATAGAGGATACGGCTAAAATAGCAAGGTGTTAAAGGCGTGACTAGGGCGGGTTAATAGGCTTGATTTGGGTCTACCATATGTATTTGATATCTCTCATATAACGCAAGTCAAAGAGCGGGATAGTAGAAATCATATAGCGGAGGAGATAAACGATATCTTGAATTGCTTGTGCTCTACACCACCTGTGAGACCAACATATCTATACATCTGTCTATCTATCAAGTTCTAATTGTCTCCTCCTGTAAAGACTACTCCAATCTACGCGAAAAATTGCTTCACCTCCTAGGTTAAAATTACAAAAATTCATGATCAAAAAAGTATAACAAGGTCAGCACCTAAAAAGAAGCATGCTAACTCGGATATCTTCGAGAAGGCAAAAAAATTTGGACGCTGTGGGAATTGAACCCACGACCTTTCACAAGTACGCAAGGTTTTTTAATGCGAAGCGAAAATCATACCCCTAGACCAAGCGCCCGTTGATTTAATTATGGAGATTTTTGAGAATAGAAACTTAATAGACAGTAAAAATTTCTTCAGATCGAGTAAGAGAAATTGAGAGAAAGGTAATTTTGGGCGGTAAAATTGTTTGTGCGCACGGAGAAGTTTCGGTCCGAGACATTAGGTAGCCTGGAACCTAGATAGCGCTTCTCGGAGGGGCGAGGTGGGGCCATGACAAAGTGGGATGGGAAACGCGGGGCGAGATCGTGAACTTAGAAAGGCACCACAGTCGATTATCACACGCCAATCACGGAGTGTATTGAGACTTCATTGGCCCCTGCTATGCTAGGTGATTGCTTATTTACCACCAGAAATGTCAGCCGGGGCTGAATTACAGCACTAAAGGAGCACCTCCTCCTCTTCGCCGTGCTCCTTACGGCTACCCCAAGTAGTCTGGAATAGTTAGTATAGTATCAAAGAGGACAACATCGCGAGACTCACCACATGGAGGGTAAAAGGTTCCAAAATGCGCTAAGCCGGGCGCAAAAACCGAACATTGCCCTGCCGAGTGCATTCGTCAACCAATCGGATTCTCTGAAGCCAGATGTTGTCGTGCATACACTGTTCTTCTCCTTCTGTCACCGCGCATGCGCCACCACGGAGAGTTCACACCCAGCCCGTACGATGTTGGTGGTAGCGATTGGTAGGCGTCCTAAGTGCTGTTAATGGAGGAATGAATGGATGAGTGATTAGGCGCGATACGGGCCCTTTTTCGTGAGATACGAAAAGCCTCGCCTTGGTAGTGCATCTTCCTTTTGGCATAACCAAGCTTCAGATTATCTCATCAATTAGGTCTTCGAGGTCATACCACACCCTTTAGCCCGCCCGATTCATCCTTTTGATATCTGAAGCCTTCCGAAACCTCCAAGTAGCTTGTAAGCACAGATATGAAACAACCCAGTTTGGCTTAGCTCCTTTGCTCATCTATATATTCTCGCTCTGCACGCTTCGTCAACTATCATCAAGGAACTCCGACCTGCGCGCTCTTCAAGGAAACCCTCATATTATTCGGACTTAACAATATCACGCTCCTATAAACTCTTTCGCGCTATGGCTGTCCTCCATGAAGATGCGCAGGTTGTTGGCAATTCAGACGATAAAGTCTATTACTTCAATTTCACCACATCCACCTTCATGAAACGCGAGAAGCCTCTTGCCGAGAGAGGCGTTAGCAGGATGACGGGGAAACCTATCGAAAATCCATGGTTCAAAGAACGCTTTCAAAACGAAGCCGCTGCACTACAACTGCTCAGAAGTCAAGCAAAGATTCCAGTACCTGGCTTAAGATCATGGGGAGAGGACAGCGAAGGATTGCTGTTTCTTGAGACGGATCTTGTTCCGGGAGTCCAACTCGAAAGGGCTGGGGATGAGTGCCGGATGCCGAACCTCCATTCCCTCAATGGAGAGAAGATTGGCAAGAAGTGCGACCAATGTGTCGACTTAGCTCAAAAGAATTTCAATCAATTTGTCGAAGAAAAGCTTCTACCTGAGCTGAGGAGTCTCAAATCATCCACGACGGGACTCAATGGATTGGTGATCCCACCCACGTGGATCCTGGGCTCCGTCGACCGACCAAGTTGGGAGCCTAAAACGTCCGACAAGGAAGAATATGTTATGACCCATGGCGATCTCGGACCCCACAACGTCATGATGGATTTGGAAACATTGGAGGTGGTCTCTATCATCGACTGGGAGTACAGCGGTTACTTTCCTCCGGAATTTCAGAAATGGGGTGCTACACGGGGAGGACATTTCGCACATTTTAAGGATGAGGATCTTGCTCGCGAACTGGCCGCCACTATTGATCTATAGGGATCTGGTTACTATCAATCTTCAAGGTTAGGTAGTGCTTAGCTCGATGGGCAGTGGACAGGTTAAGTGTTTTGATATGCATTAACCTGTTAACATCAAAACGTTCGTCGCAGGAGGAGACAGTGGTGGTCACGGGATGTCACACCCGCATTGGTAGCTGTCTTCCTCATCTGCTCAGGAATATAAATGCCAGTATCTCGCTCATACCCCGAGGTAAACCGCCGCATATAGCCACGCACCGTGTCTTCGGTCGGCTTCTTTTCCAGTTGACCTTCTGCTGCCGATGCGAGGAGCTCGGCGAAGTATTTCAAAGTACGCAAATCACACGGAGTCGCTCCTGGATGTTCTCTCTCATACCTATAAAGAAGAAGCAAATTATAACGTTAGTAAAGTTCTCAAGCCCTAGATGAGAGATAGCCTGATGAGGAAGAACTTACTCTCGCCATACCTCTATCTGTACCTCATACAACCCTTCTGAATAGCCTAGGATCTTTCGGAGAACAGGGCGATCATCGATGCCAGTCATGTCATCATTAAATCGTTTCTCTCGCGCCACCTTCACCCTCTCTGCTGCTGTCTTTTTCTTGCCCATCTTGGGACGGTGGTTTCTCGCGACTGCGAGCAAAAGGGAGGGTTTTCCGTAGACAGAATGTGAGAAGTTCTTCGTATCACTAGCCTGGTAGGTCGGACTTCCGATGATGAAAAGCAGAGCGTTAAAGGCAGAGAGGAATGGTCTGGATGAACAGCGAGGAGAGCGGGTGAGGGAAGAGAACTTAAGTGCAAGAATCACGGCAGAGAGTAGAATCTGGAGTGCATTGCAAGGCAGATTCCAACTCCACCTCTGCAATAGCATTGATACACAACACCAGGATGGTGAGTCCAGAAGCCCATCTTGGTACCAGGGGCCCATCACGGTCCCCCCGGAGCCCGTTCTGGCTCCCCTGAATCCTTCTCGCCAGGAGTTGACGCTATCGACAGGCGCGAGACCGGGGATAAGCAGAGGTGAGGCCGTGGAGAGGTGAAGCAAGGGTGATCAGAGTCACGTGCGCTGTGGCTTAGTTATTCGCAGCAATCTCATATCGTAGCAGAAACCATGCATTTGTTTTCAGGACCCGCATGCTATTTAGTCCACATCATTTGCTTTCCATCACCCATAAAGTCTCTATTCACACACTCTCTGAAGTAAAATCTCCCTATCCACCCATCCTTCGGGCATCTATTTCTTACTCGTCTTCTCGGCTGCCGCCTCCGCAAGCGGATGGATTGGGTTGGAGCTGAGCTTGGACTTCTGCTCGTCGCTGGCTTCTTTTGCGTGGTCGAGGGACGGTGCGCCACCCTGCTTATTGGGTTCGTTGGCCGTGGTGCCCTGTTGGCTTTCGGACTGGTTCTCGGGGTCGGGGGACTGGCGGCCGGGGTTTGGGGCGGACATTTTGTGTGTGTGGCTACTTGGTGAATTAGATGTCTGTGTGTGGAATGGGGATGAATGGTAGGGGCGGAAGAGGCGGAAGTATGTTGTGTGGTGCGAGACGTACGCGATTGTTTGTGGTGGTGGGAAGCTCTTTGGGATTTGTTAGCTGCTGCTTTGAGCCATGACGAGGGGAATGATACTAACGTTTGGTTTGGTATCTTGTAGCGTTCAATTGCTTGTCGAGAGGATGTTTGAAGTTGCTAACGCTCAGGAACAGTGTTGCAGCCCCGCGCTTTTCATTCAAGAGCTGCCCCACGACGACGTCATTGCTCATAATTCGTCTTGGCGGCCAGATCGGGAAGCACCGACGTCAATTGATAAACATTGCACCATCTGTACATTCGCCTGGCTGACGAAGCGTGCTGATAGAGCAGGTAAAGTGGACTTTATTGATGCCCAAGCATATTGATTCTCGTCATCCTGCTATATGGAAGCAGTTGTGTTCTGGTACCCCTGATGTTGTATAACGCCATAATGCCCAAGCCCACCAAACCCTTGAGGAACTCCAAGTTAACGCCAATATACCTCAGCTCATCTTCCCCATCTCTACATCTCCCTCTCCTAAATCGTCGTCGTCGTCCCAGCCCTGGCCCTTAAGCCGTTTTCCAACCCAAAGCCCGAGAACTGTCAATGCACTAGCTGTGAGAAACCACCCTTCAAACCATCTCTCTGTGAACGCCGGCTCAAGTGGTGCGCCCAACGCATCCGAAATCGCACTCTTCATCTCGCTTGGCAGATTGCTTCGCAAGAGAAGAGCAGAGCTAATGACGTATGTTGCTGCAATCTGTGAGATCATGAGGGCAAAATTGGCGCGAGCGTGGTGAAGAATTCCCGGAAGAACCCGAGCGAAGAGGAAGAAAGTTTGCAGAACGCTATTAAATGATGCTAGGAGCATGACTCCGGAAAGAAGGAAGGAAATAGTGCGACTCCATGCCACGCGGTCGATAGTCGGGTCCCAGTGCTTCGCCAAAATGGCCAGGAAGTTGTTGATGGGATCGCTGTTCGAGAAGCTCGTTTCTGGGGAGGAGAAACGGCGTAAAGTCGTAAGTGTCGTCGCAGCTATGCGATACAAACAGTACAACGAAAAGACGAACGAGAACAGGTTGAGTAGGCGGCCGTGTGCGGTGTGAGAGCGAAGTTGAGTTTGTCGTCGGTTTTGAAGGATTGTGACGGAGTTTTGAAGAGTGGTGCGCATAGTTTCAAGACCTTGAATTTCAAGCTGAAGTGTATTTCGCTCTAGGATCTCTGGGTTACCTCGTATGCTGCCCACAACGCGCGTCATGAATCCTTCTTGCGGAGCATCTGAAAGTTTTCTTTCGGCAGCTCTCAAGCGGCTCTCCTTCGTGAGAAGCATATCATTGGTGGCCTCAAGCCCAGCTTGCTTTCGTGCTATATCCGACTCTGTGACCTGCTCAAGTCAGATACAATATACTTGTGCGGAAATAGCGAAGAAACAGAGCGCGTAGACCTACTGGACGGTACTTGACACCAAACGTCTGCCATAGTGAACTCACGGCGGCGAATCCAGCGAGGGAGGCCATCAAACTTATGCCAATTATACCAATTCTCTCCAAGCAGCCTTCGCTGAAGCTGTGATTGCGAATGTACGACTCTTCATGCAAGTAGGACCCCAGAAGCCCTCGCCCGAGATACCAGAACCCCGCCAGCCATAATGCAAGCCCAAGCAACTCCAATAT